TCTGGCCGATTACTTGGAGCTTGCGACATTACTTTGCAAAAGGAACTAGTTACTTTACTTATTACTCGCATCGCCCAAACAGTCACAGCTTCTTAGTGCTGTTGCAATCTAGAAAAGAGACTCACCAAGTGGATTTAAGGCAATCGTGCCTAAATTAAACCTGCTTGGTTTCCGTTGGTCTGTTCTAAACAGGGCCAAGCCAAACTCTGGATCTTACTTTTCCAAAGGAGTTGGTTGCTCGTTTTTCTGATCACCCAGCATGCCTAAAAGGTGACTTGTTATTGTTTCTGCAGTTCAGAAAGGTACCTTGCTAAATTACTCATTCTTAAGAAGAACCAGTGCATCTGAGGAAGTAGACTGAAGTCTATGAAAGCTCATACTGTGAATTTCTTTCTCTCAGTTAGTCTCAAAGCTGCTAGAAGATCTCTCTACATACTGATTCTACAGATTAACACAGCTATATCTTTGAATTCTTCCATTTCTTTGCTATCGTGCCATTGGAAAATAAAGAGAACTGCTCTCTCATTCCCCCAAGTGGCCAACTCAGATATTGCACTTTGGAAATCCTGAGAAGAATGCCAAAGACATCACAAAGAAATTCTTTCAACCCATGTGAACTTTCTATCCTCCCCGCCATTACTCACACATGCACTCAGAATAAATAACAGGAAAACACTCTGTTTCTGTTCTACCAAAAAGTATCAAAGTATATGCATCATTGTTAGAGGCAGAAAGTAATTCCTTTCCAGCTAGTTACGGGAAAGTAACTAGTTAACAAAACAAGTTATACACTCACAACTTTCTAGTTACGTCTTCTGCTGTCACAGGGTCTATCCCCATTGCAGAATTAAAGTAGTTTGACACCACTTTAACTGCTGTGACTCTATCCTACAGAATCCTGGGATTTTTAGTTTGGTGAGGTATTCAGCCTGGTCGGTCAAAGAGCTCTGGTGCCTGACCAAACTACAAGGGAAGGGAGCGCCATGCCTCCAGAAGCCTCAGTTGCACAAATGGAAGAAGTGCAGTGGTGGCTGCTCCAAAACCAGTGTTTTGTTGTTTTAGTTTGGCTTGCAGGACAGAAGCACAAAAGAGGCTGGTGTGCTACAGGAAAAGAGATTCCACCTAAATATTAGGAGGAACTTCCTTACAGTAAGAGCTGTTTGACGGTGGAACACAATCCCTTGGAGAGTGGTGGAGTCTCTTTCTTTGGAGATTTTTAAAGAGAGGCTGGATGGCCATCTGTCACAAGGGATGCTTTGATTGAGATTTTCTGCATGGCAAAATGGGGTTGGACTGGATGGCCCTTGGGGTCTCTTCCAACTCTAGGATTCTGGGATTCTGTGATATTGAGGCAAGTCTGGGGGCAAATGGGATGGTGGGAGGACTTCTCTGCTCACTGACCTGCAGCTTAATTGTCCGTGTTTCCACAGGGCTGCACTCCAAACTCTCGTCCGCGCAGCAGCCGGCGCATCGCCACACGGGGACACACGGCGGCTTGAAAATGTGCTCAGCTTCATGGGGGTATTCGCTCAAGATGTCCACCAGAGTCTCACGGGAGCGGCAGAAACTGCGGTGCCAGACTTCCTGAAAGGGAACCGCTGGGGTACAGAGGAAGAGGAAATCAGGATCCCATGGAGAGCCAAAAAGACAAACAAGTGAGTCCTAGAGCAAATCAAGCCTGAACTCTCCCTGGAAGAAGCCCAGATGACCAAACTGAGGCTGTCATACTTTGGACACATCGTGAGAAAAAAAGGGAGGACTCTTTGGAAAAGACAATAATGCTGGGAAAGTGGAGGGAAGGAGGTAGAGAGGAACACCACATGCCAGATGGAAGGACTCTATTATAAAGGAGGTCACTATAGGGATTTATTAAGGGCTTGCAAGGGAGGACAGGGGGTCTTCTTGGAGAGGTCTCATCCATAGGACCACCGTGAGTCGAGATCGACTCAAGGTTCAACAACAAAGTCCACATTGTTCCCCATCCCACCCCAGATCTGCACTTGGGGTCCTCAGGAAATTGATGCACCTGCCCCCATATTCAGAGTTTTCCATCTCTGAACTCTTCCCTGCTCCATGGTTCTGAGATTTCACATGAACTCTTTGTCTTCCTGAAAAAATGCATGTGCTGGTCCTGCTCTGAGAGCCATGGCCATGAACCCATCTCCCTTGGTCTTGGCAGAAATGCCACAGTCCAGGTGTTTTGTGATGGAACACAACTCCCATTGCCCCACTGGGCAAACCAGAGAGGTTTGTGACCTTCAGGTGTCCAATGCTGGGAAGGTCCCCAATTCACCACTAAAAGGCAGGATGGATGGAGAGACAGACCACCACACTGACTGAAATAGACCTGATCTCATATGTTCTCAGAAGCTAAGCTGGGTCAGACCAATTGAGTCCTTGGGTGGAAGACCACCAGGCAAGGGCAGGAAAATGTTTTGCTGGAAGAAGAGTTTCATCTGCCAGTCAGAGATGATAATATGGAGCTAGCTGGCCCAAGGGTCTGACTCACTAGAAGGGCAGCTTCCCATATTCCTATTATGAAGTACCCTTGTTCAATCCCCAGGCTAGGTAAGGTAAGGTGAAGTAAGGTAAGGCAAGGCAAGACCTAAAACTCCCCAAAAGCTGTTGCTGCCAGTCCGAGATGACTATATGGCTCTAGCTGGCCCAAGGGTCTGACTCAGTTGTAGGGTAGTTTCCCATATTCCTATTCTGATGCTCCAGGTTCAATTCCTAGCATCTACAAGTATGACTAAAGAGAAATCCTGCCTGAACCCCCCAAAAGAGCTGTTGTTGTCAGTCAGAGGTGACAATATGGGCTTAGATAGACCAACGGGCTGACAGAATATAAAGACAGAATATAAAGAATATAAAGACAGCTTGCTATATTCCTATGCAAGAAGGTCACAGATTCAGTCCCCAGCATCTGCAAGAATATTTAGGAAAGTATCCTGCCTGAAAAAACACAGAGCTGTTGCTGCTGGTCAGAGTTGACAATACTAGTATTGATGCCCCATAATATATAGTTGCTTCCCATATTCCTATGCAAGCAGGCCACAGGTTCAATCCCCAGGAATATCTAGCCAAGAATCCTGCCCAAAAAATAACAGTAGATGTCAGTTAGATTTGACAATACTAATACAGAGACTCCATAATATGTCGTTGCTTCCCGTATTCCTGTGCAAAATGGTCACAGGTTCAATTCCCAGCATCCCCTGGTAGGGCTAAGTGAAGACTCCTGCTAGAAACCATCTGTCAGTCAGTATTTGACAAAACTGGGGCAGTCCGAGTCCGTACAGGGTCTCTTCCAGTGTTTCTAGAGGAAAGCTCACCTCCCGACAGATGATCAGAAGGAGAGTCCATCTGCAAAAGAATGGGACAGAAGTTAGAAAGAAGGCTTCTGAGAGTATCCAGAGCTACAAAACAGAATCAGAGCCTGGAGGAGTTATTTTGATGAACTACAGCTCCCAACATGGCCATCTTGGTTAGGGGATTCTGGGAGCCTTAGTCCAATACAGTAGCTGCTCCGAGCTCTGATCAAATTTTGTTTTATACACACACCCACACACACATATATATCCATATCTATATCTATGAATATATCTATCTATCTATCTATCTATCTATAGATAGATATGAATAGATAGATGGATAGATAGATATTCATTCATATATATATATATATATATATATATATATATATATGAATGTGGTGTGTGGGTGTGTGTTTTATACACATACACACACATATCCATATCTATATCTATGAATAAATCTATGAATCTAGATCTAGATCTAGATCTAGATATATAGATATATATGAATAGATAGATAGATAGATAGATAGATAGATAGATAGATAGATAGACACATTCAGGGGCAGCTGTGTTGGCCATTTAGCAAATTCAAACAAAAATCCATCAGTGATACCTTTATTGGCCAACCAAGTATATTGTGAATTTTGGTTGGCCAATAAAGGAAACACTGATGTATGTGTGTATATATATAGTTCTTTTTTCTTTCCTAC